GTCCGAAAATTTTCATTAACCGAACACTTTTAATTACTACTCTACTATTAGATCGATTATGTATTACTACACTTTTAATTACTATCTCTATATGCAATTGTCATGTAATTGTCCCTATGCACTTCGCCTCTGTTTAATTAATTATTAATTAGGGGTTTTTTAAAGCGATTTTTCAAAGATTCAAACGACACCACGTTACTACAGCGCGATACGTCACATTGACAAAATTCCCCCACTACGTGTGTATTCTCACGAGACATCGCTTCGTAATATACCCGATTAGAACATCGAGTACGTAAATTAACGTAATCTCGGACGGTCGACGTCGGCCGTTGACGCGATGAAATACACGCGAATCGTCCTTTAACTGCTAACTCATCCCTGAACTTTGCTCGCGCGCTGCGAATATACTCGGCCTGCGTATATACATATATATATTATATATACAGGCGCACGCCTGTATAACTCAAATTGAGCACTGAGTTTACAGAAGCATCCTCCGCAACGTTCAACAAATTTCAGGTGCATTAAGCTAATTTCATAATTCGAAGCGTTAACCTGCCAACAGTTCACCGAGCGAATACGTACCTACATACGTGCAACCAGTTGGCGAGGTGCGCGATAGGATGCTGTGGCGGGATTTTGTAACGCAGTGTGTGCCCCTCGGTATCCGACGCTATCTTGGCGTTTTAATCTTCTTTACACCTTACACGATGTAATATCGCGTACGAGATTCTTCAGTTGGCTGGTGAATGGTATCACCAGCGGTGCATTTGCACGTGTGCATCGGGTTTGCACGATACCCGAAGACAAGACGCGCGCGCCGCTCATTTTCAAGATACGGACGCTGATGGCTGGACTCATTGTTGGTAATTTATGTCGGAGACTGTACACGGGCGAACGGTTAGCCTTGAGGTTTACTATGGCTGGGACCGGCTGATGCCTTCCACCGTCTCCTCGTCGTCCTCGTCGTCCGCTCGCTCGCTCGTTCGTTCGTTCGTTCGCGTAGCACGACATTGGCTGCGGGCATTTCATCGTGTATCCATACGTTCCGTTTAATCTTCGACGTACGTTGCTCGTATTATGAAATTTTTCACATTTCTTGCGCGAACTTATATATGAAAAATTTTTTCTCCCCTGCCTGCGCAGAGACTTGAAAATATAGAACAAAGTTCTCTAGTTTTGCAGTCTATAGTTTCTTGCGTTTCATCCATCTTTGCGACTCTCTTGTGACTCGATATTTGTCCATTTGAGTTGGATGGTTCGTTTCTATTGACCCTCTCGCGATTAATCTCTTTCGAAATTTTCAAACGTTCTCGTTCTCCGAAATTAACGTTACTGTACATAATTATTATATTACCGTGTAGATACTCATATTCGTAGGACGTGTTGAGTAATTTTTGGAGTAATTCGAATTTCTATACGTATTTTAAGAAAATATATTAAACTGGAGCAGGTTTATAATGTTGTAAATACTCCAATTTCATGAAAATCTAGACTCTAAATGGGAGGTATAACGAGAGAAAGAATATGAATCCTTCTCGGGACAAAGTAATGTAGATTGATGGGAAAGATTTATAAATGGGTCATTGATTAGTTAAGTTAAAATTAGAATCCTAATCAGTTGTTTACAATCTTTTCACTTCTCTTTCTCTCATTTTCCGACAAGCAAAAACAAAAAAGAAGAAAATACGATCTATCAGCAGAAATAGCACGAATTTAATTTCTACAGTTACACGTTCTGAACGTTTCAATTACTCGCATTCGAGTCAGAGAATCGAATCTGGTCGGGCAGCTGCCATTTCCGAAGTAAAATTAGAAAGAGTAACAATCGGCCCTGTAGGAAGAATTACGACTTTCCATGTTTTTCATCGCGCGTATTCTACTTGCACCTTGGAGCCAATTTCATTCTACCAGCAGAAGTTAAGCAAACGACCATATTTCTTTTCTGCTTATATTTATCGTCGTCGAACAAACACACGTATGTTAACGAGTATCCTTTGTTTTACGATGTACGCTTGCAAATACCCTGTACCATCACTTTGAACGTCTCGAGCCCTCGAGAGTATGGATGTTCAGATCAGACACGTTGTTCAGCTACGACATAAGATAGGTATTGATCCACGGCGGATATGCAATGTGTGCATATACACACGCGCCGACACTCGTGTATTTTTCTTGAGTCTTCCTCAAGTAGCATTTAACTTTAAAGGAGGAAGATCCATTGTAAGGTAAAGATGGAATTTGCGAACGCGGTGAAAGGTTCGGAAATAGCTGACTCTTTAATCGGTCGGCTATTGTGAGTCACACGGTATCTCAGTGATTTCGCATTGTACACAACTAACCTCGTCTTTTGACTCCGTCAGTCCTACTTTTTCATTTCTGACCGAATGACATAGGTGAACCAAGTTGGTGTCGACTTTTTTTTCTTTCGCTCCTTTTTGTTTTTATATTTAAGTCCTTCAGATCCTTCAGTCCTACATTTTAATTTTCGATTAAACTGGCTGGAACGAGTGTCAGCCAAATTGAGGTCAACCTGTTTTTTGTCTGTTGCTTTTTGTTTCCTTTCTGGATACGTATCGTTTCATTTTCTCTCACAAAGTGCACGTGCAATTCAAAAGCGCATGGTTGATGATTTAGACTTTTTAATATTTCTCGTAATATTCAGTATTGGCAGTTGTTGCATCATATGCAATTATGGGATTTAGTGTCTTTGTATTTAAAATAATTTTTGGCAGAGGTTGCATAGAGATTTGATAAATACTGAATATTACAAGTAAAAAAGAGCAGCGGTACATAACCCATTGGGACTGAGACGTATCCACATAACAAATCAAGTAACTTTTGCAATGTTGAAATCTCCATTCGAGGAGACTTCTTTTAATTTGGAAATAAAATCGGAGAAAGCCAATAGAAAGTGTCTTTTTAATTTATCGAATTGTTTGATAAAACTTCGTTGTTAATTCGATTTTACACGTAGCTTCTTATCGGCGCAACTATTATTGTATATTTTTATTAATTACTCGCATAGATAACATCGTTTATGAACGAGAAGGCACTCTGCTTTATGCGAAAATACATTAGCGACAAATAATATTGCGCTGAGTCAAAGGAATGATTAAATGCAGGATGTTTATGTTGGAAATAATTCACGTAAAATGGTCTGGCGATGTCTCTGTATTAAAGCACTAAGCGTTTATTTGAACGTATAAATTGCAGCAGCCGCTTTTGTTCAAGGTGTTTTCTTATCATGTTGTGTGACATTAATTGTAAGAACGTTATGAAATTCAAGCTGAATTTTCGTTTGTACACGCGTCGTCCAAATCGCTAATGACTATTTCATGTGCTTTCTCTAAATTGTTAATTACTAATTACGTACGAGACTGCGAATATTCATGCTGCTATAATAACTGTCGTGCTCAATTAGTGTATTAATCTATTCAGGATCAAGCAATTATTTAACATAGTGTCAGAAATATTTCAATTTTTTTGAATTTTAGAATTTAAATGGAAGGAAATATTGAAGTGAATCGCCTTTTTTGTAATCAAACTGTTATCAAAAAAACAAAGCTTAATGAATATTATAAAAAGATTAAAATGAAGTGAATATTAATATTATAAACGAATAATACTATAACGCGATTTTATTACATTTTTATTGTAGCAAAAATTAAATATTTCGTACCATAGCCAAAACGTATAAATTGCGCGCGGTAATCAATGTGATCAATGGGGTATCAAAATTATTAGTACATTGCTGATTTTTTATGCATTTTTATGAATTTATGAGACATTTGAAAGTTTAAAAATATGAAGAACAAAAGTAACATATTTATTCTAATATTTAATGAAAATGAAATTTTCTATTTAGATTTGATTTGTCTAGTTAAATTTACATAAAAATCCGCAGTCTAATTATCAGAATTTTTCATCGAAAGACGATTCAATTTCATTTCAACTTTTTCACCAAAAGGGACTGATACTTTATTCACGTTTATTAATTTCATCGATCAACTTTATCGAAATCGCGGTTAGAAATATTTCTCCATCTTCGGACTTTCTCTGTCATACTAATTCGGAGATAATTAATTTTTCTTTGACTGTTGGTTAGAATAGTATTTGTATTATCTTTTGAATTATTACATCATCGTCGTATCACCGTTATTACATCATGCGAGAGAAAACGTAGATGTGGTTTATGTAGCACGTCTTTAAACCCATAATAAAATTTGTCTGATTAGCGAACATCAACGATATAATATCGTGTATAAATTATAAATTGATTCCAAAGGAAATTCAATCACCACCAACAGGTTTTCTCGCTCGAACTGCAAGCTACTTGTACATACATACATGTGAAAGGAATTTCCCTCATAGGTAACATAAAATAATTGATTGTGCATATTTATTATAAATTACCAGAAGGATGTAAATATTACGTTAATAATACCATAATATTCACCAAACGAGAGTTTCCGTCTAATCGGCATTTTTCTTAATCATTTCGTCCAACTGTTTCGAGAATACGAGACTGCAAGTCGTTCGAATTGTTTGCGAGTAATCATTCGCATCGTCGTTGCAACAATTCCGAATTTCGTTGCTGCTTATCGTCGAACGCAACGCGCCGTTGATGCTATTAGTTCCCGTAGACAACCCCATTCCGACATCATTACGAAAGATGCTAAACATTATCTTCAACGATGTGTCTGTCGTTATTCATTCATGGTTCCGAGCGAATGCATTGGTTCCGTGTTAGACAATGTGCGTGTTCTGCGGGATAGATACATATACATACATAGATGCATGTATAATTTAAATGGAGAGCAGAACGTGGCAGTGGTTTTAAGAAAATATACAGGGTGTCTTCAACCTTTTCGTTACTGATTTATATCCTTTATGTTTTAGGGAATTCGTTGGCATTGGAATGAACCTGTCAATACTATAGACAAGTTACAACTCGTCATTTGCGTTTCTCATTTTCTAGTGCATCTTGTCAGTTGTCAGTTACTACAAGGGCCAGCAATGCTAGCCACAGCAGGAGTTAAGGGATTTTCCTTTAAATCTAACCATCTCAAATTCTTCAATTCGCCCAAACTAAGTGGCAATCTACTTATCTGATTTGCATAAAGATCCAAATGTTTCAACTGTATCAGTTCCCCGAAGTTCTCAGGGATTTCCTTCAACATGTTCCTACTAAGATCTAATACGATTATTTGCTTCAGGTTGACGAAAGTATTAGGCAAAGAAGTTAAGAAGTTGTTTGATAAATCCAAATCTGTTGCTTTCTTAATAGTTGCGATTTCTCGAACAGGCACTTCTTTCAGGTCGCATAGGCTGAGGTCTAGTTTCTTGTCTTTCAGTCTGTTTTTAACTTTCTTCAGATTCATTTCGACAACGGGAAAACGTTAACCGGAGAAATGGAATTGTGAAATATAGAACTCGTGGCTTTTTGTGGCGTCACCTTCTAACCGAGAACATATTGTAAAGTTGTAAAGTCCAAAAGAGGTTATGCTGGTAACGGTAACGTTTAACTTCTCGATACGTATTGAATATAAGATTGGAATTAAATTGTCTTTGTCGTTTATTAATTTCACAATTATAGAAGATTTTGGTCAAGAATAGACCCAGTTATAAGATTGAAACATCTCAGAATAATGCCTAAATCACAAATGTCCTAAAATTCACCATCACGCAAAGAGTTTCTTTCCCATTTTAGTTGAAATTTCAATTATATTTAATGATCCATCCACTCGAATGTCTTTGCTGCTGATGAGTCATTATTATTCCACAGAGAATCACAGATCGCACGATTAATAATAATTAACGAATGAAACGACTCAGAAAAATTAGTCACTAAATTAACTATTCTCGAGATATTAATTCAGAGTTAACTTTGTTGGTCATTCTGTACAATAAAACAAGAGAATAATTTAGCGCGAGAGAATAAATCGAGTCAAATCCTAATTCGAATGGGAAGACGCGAGCTGAACTGACATAAAATCCGGAGATGATTTAACGCCAAACGAGCTCGGAACTCGGCATTCTTCGCGGATCACGCGATCCATTACAGAGACGTTTCACTCGAGCGCGTGTTGATGTCGATGGGCGAATTCGAAATTGTTTTTCTCCATTGTATCCGTCTCGTTATAAATTCAGGCGGCGTCGATCGTGCGCCTCTCGTTTCCGATCGAGCCAATCTGAAAGACAGAGGAAGGAAGAAAAAAGAAAATATTAATGGTCGTCGCGAGGTTGACGCGAAACTCGATGAGCAGGCGATATCGAGTGCTCAAGGATCTCGAAAAGAAAAATCTCAACGTGATGGCAATGAGGCGTCATCGTGACGTTGAGAGAGAGAGAGAGAGAGAAAGGCTCTATATTCGATCATGATTCGTTCTTTCGATGATTTATAAGATTAACTTGAGAAACAATTAAGAAAAATGTGTAAAGATACAATGTTTCTTGAACGTAATTATGACATTAAACTAAAAACGATGTAGTAACGAAAGAAATTATATCTTTCAGTTAAGGATACTTAATTATTAAAACTCGATACACAATAGAAACCAATGTGCCACATTCCACGCATTGTGAAAGTAGATTCTTTCGTAACCTAGTGGAAAGTACAGTAAAAATCACTCGGTTCCTATATGATAAAATAAAAATGAAAGTTACACAAATACGCAGATAAAAAATATGGGTTGCACGTGACACCCAATTTATTTGTTTGTCAGTTTGTTTTTGAAATTTATTTTTCTTTTTTCTATTGTTTTTACTAGAATCTATTTAAAACAAAAACCAAACAATTTCGAAGATCCAACATGAGAACTTCCAAGTGCTCCATTTTCAGGGATGATGACACGATAATTGTCAAGTAGCCTCCTACAACGAGGCGAAGTTTTCATTATTTAATAATATACAATTAACTTTTACAAACTCCATTTCATTCAGCGGTATTTATGCAAAGTTTGAAAATTCAAATTCTCCTTTATATTTCAAAATTGACGTTCTCGAAAACGTGATGAAGGGAAACATCGATAGAGTCAATCAGTTGATTCCGATAGAGTCAAATTGTATTGTGATTCTGTCGAAAATGTAACCGAATATCAAATGATGAAAAAAAAAAAAAAAGAAAAAAGTGTAATCGATCGTCGCTAATAAACCAACACTCTTGATACGTGCTACGTAGCTCGCAGCTGATTGTCGGTAGGGAAACTCCGTTTAGGGTGAATAGTTGTACGTCCACCTGTATGCGAAAGTTCAGCCCAAACTCGGGGAAGTTTCTGCGAACGCAGAAGGCTAGTGTGTTGAGGTTATTACCTAGGCACCTACTTTAACGCGTTTACGCTTGCAGGCAGGTTCACGGGGTGGTGATGGATGTGGCGCATTGGCTTCTATCGCGCAACCCTAAACGCGTTACAGAAATTTCCGACGTCGACGGCGTTTGATGGAATTTGAAGTCGTGCTGTTATTTGTAGTCTGTTAGATTCGTTTTCTTGTTTAACTTTACCCTGTTGTGTCAGCTAGGGGCCCTGTGCGTTGTTAGTTTCATCCGCGCTATCATTGCTTGTCATCTGCTTCGTGTTTGCTTTCGCTGTTTGAAATTAAACTGAGAATTCAACGTCCAAATCATCGGGACCTACAGCAACTATTGTAAGTAAAGATTGGGGATCTTTATGCAAGTGTGAAATTTAATACGTAGCACGAACAGTCATCAATGAGTGTTAAAGATAATAGTCCAACTCAATATTGAGATTTATTGATTCAATAGATTGTCGTTGTTCGAATGTCCTCGAAATATATAGTACTGTTAAATATTTTATAATTTTTGTATATACATATATCCTCGATTTTGTTCTCAAACTCGACGCGAAATTTATTTTTAATATCAATGAAATTTTCAAATATTCTATCTAACGCACAATTTAATAAACTGAATTTCTCGTAGACAGTTCTATATCTTTGTACACATCCAATTTTGAGAAACAATCAATTTTGCCCAGGCATTGTTTGTCGAAAAATTTAAATCGTCAGTTTTAGTTAATTTATTCTTCACGTTGAATTAAAGTTTCTGCCTTTTTTAAGCTTTATCCGGTTTTTTGCACGTTTGTGCAATTTTTTTCTCCCTCCCTTTCTCTCGTGGTTTTTTTTCAGCTCGTTAATATAAGATTTTACTTTCTACGTGTTTTTCTACAACGCGTTTTGATATTGTTTCGCCGGGTGTTGTAATAAAGTTATATTGTTATGGCGCTTGTTTCATTTCGAGGTTTGCGTGAAAACGTTTTCCCGGAAATATTGAAATTCTACTACAAACCTGACACGCGTGATGTACATATGTGTTCTTCGTGAGTTCACGTACACGTGCCGTTCAATCCAGAAAAGTGTTGGCAATCGTGCTTGTAATAAAGATAGATCGATTGACGTTGCTTATCTATATTCTTTTTGTCCGTCGTATCCTGTTGATTAGAATGCCGCGGACAGCTTCAAATTAAATTATGATTGTCGGCGTAGTAAAGCGGAAAATATTATAATTAATTTTCAATTAAATGACCACGATTAGATAGGAAAATGAGAAAACAAATAGTTAGCTTTGATAGATTGTTTCTTTGTATTTTATTAATAAAAAAAATATGACGTAGAAATTATTTGATAAATTTTTTTAATATTTCTCGGAATTCTTAATATTTCGCCTTGATATCGATAGAATTCTTCGTTCTTCATTTTTAATGATATGTCATACGAGTATTTTATTTTTTTTTATCCTTTTAATAAACGTCAATAAATCGACAGGGTTTTATGGTATCTAATATTTATAAATTCCATCTATTTTAATGATTGATGTAGTTGTTTCAGTTATTTCATAAAGTTTTAAAATATCAAATGTCACGTTTATTTAACGTTTTATTCGATACGGCAATTTGCGTACACAAGATGGAAACGAGCGAATATCCATCGAGTTCTAAAGTTTCGTTACAACAATTTTAGCCCGAGATTGTGAAATTTAATTACAAATACAGTGGTGAACAAAAGAAAATTTTTAAAAATTGTTATTTATCCGTGTTTGTATAGTAAAAATTAGTGATCTTGGTATTAGACACTATTTCGTCAATATTTTAGGGTTCAGAATTCAATAAGTACACTTTCGTTGATAAAACCTGCAATGAATGGAGTTTAGTTATAATATTAAATTCGTTTATCAATCGAAGATTTTGACGATAAATGTTTGCATTGTGCAAGTCGTTTTTAACGAGAAATAACTTACATTAACTAGTTTCCGAGCTAAAGGTTCCCGTTTTTCCATGTATTTGTTTACAATTGTTGATATTATCACCTATTTTATGATCCATATTATCATCTTATAATGTTATCTGTTACCATATATATCATCTATTTAATGAAGATACTGTTCGAAAGGTAATTGATAATTTGCAGCATCGCAAACATTACATCGAACATTGATCACTCTGATAGTTGACACTGTTCTGATGATGTTTGGCGTACTGCAGCTACGATTTGCTCTCTCGAGTGGGATTGGAACTGAATAAATTTACTGACTAACTAAGAAAATGAAAAATTTTTCGCTTCTTCTTTTTTTTTTTTTTGCGAAAAAGGAGAACGAGCAAATCTTTAAGGGACATTTCTCCTTAGTTTGTCACTTTTGATATTTAAATCTGAGACCCTTGTATATCCTATACACTATAACACTATAAATTTTTTGCTGAAACCGAGCGTAAGGTTGAAATACAAAAATCTGAGAACGCTGGCACAGTCGTACTTTCTTCTTGTCGCCACTGTATATGTGTGTCGTTGGAAATTGAAGAGAAACAGGATAGACGACATAAAACTGCAGGAATGCGCAACAACGTAAAAGTAATCCGTGAAATCGTCGAGGTTTGCCTTAAAAGTTAGGGGCCCGATTACGACGCCGGTGCACGATCACCGATGGAAGGATTAGGCGAGAGACCTCGCTAGAGGTTAAGCAACCGCGCGAGAAACGGAGGACAGAAAACTACGAGCGTGAACTCAACTCACGGTTAAGAGGAGAAGGACGATGGTATACCGTTAGACGTGCTTATGGCTGTTGCTCGGTTGTTTCCGGTCTTTTACCGCGGTTGACGGCACGGAGAAAGATAGTCTTCGCGCTTCGCTAGGAATGCCAGCTGTTCGTGTTAAATCACTCGAAGATCGAATAATCGATCTTCCTTTTCCTGCCACGGACCTATCTCTTCCTTAAGAAGAATGCTTCACTCCACTCGAAGAGGCACGTTCGAGCGCACTGTTGAATTTTCAACGGTCGCATACACCGAATTATGATAATCGAGCCAGTATCATTTCGTTTGTCACAGTACGTGTACGTTAAATCCGGAAGACGCCGGTGACCGATGAAATGCCAAGATGTAAAAACACAATTTTCCAGCTAAATGATCGTCTTTTCAAAATCCAAAATGATCTCTGATGTATTAATTACATCACGAACGTCGTTTATCATTAGAACATTATATATCTTCCTAACCTGAAAATTTAACTGATTTCTGGCGAA